CTGTGCGCCTCTGTGCGCCTCTGTGCGCCTCTGTGCGCCTCTGTGCGTCTCTGTGCGTCTCTGTGCGTCTCTGTGCGTCTCTGTGCGTCTCTGTGCGTCTCTGTGCGTCTCTGTGCGTCTCTGTGCGTCTCTGTGCGTCTCTGTGCGTCTCTGTGCGTCTCTGTGCGTCTCTGTGCGTCTCTGTGCGTCTCTGTGCGGCTCTGTGCGTCTCTGTGCGTCTCTGTGCGTCTCTGTGCGTCTCTGTGCGTCTCTGTGCGTCTCTGTGCGTCTCTGTGCGTCTCTGTGCGTCGCTGTGCGTCTCTGTGCGTCGCTGTGCGTCGCTGTGCGTCGCTGTGCGTCGCTGTGCGTCGCTGTGCGCCTCTGTGCGCCTCTGTGCGCCTCTGCGCGCCTCTGTGCGCCGCTGTGCGCCTCTGTGCGCCTCTGTGCGCCTCTGTGCGTCTCTGTGCGTCTCTGTGCGTCTCTGTGCGTCTCTGTGCGTCTCTGTGCGTCTCTGTGCGTCTCTGTGCATGTCTGTGCGTCTCTGTGCGTGTCTGTGCGTGTCTGTGCGTGTCTGTGCGTGTCTGTGCGTGTCTGTGCGTGTCTGTGCGTGTCTGTGCGTGTCTGTGCGTGTCTGTGCGTGTCTGTGCGTGTCTGTGCGTGTCTGTGCGTGTCTGTGCGTGTCTGTGCGTGTCTGTGCGTGTCTGTGCGTGTCTGTGCGTGTCTGTGCGTGTCTGTGAGTGTCTGTGCGTGTCTGTGCGTGTCTGTGCGTGTCTGTGCGTGTCTGTGCGTGTCTGTGCGTGTCTGTGCGTGTCTGTGCGTGTCTGTGCGTGTCTGTGCGTGTCTGTGCGTGTCTGTGCGTGTCTGTGCGTGTCTGTGCGTGTCTGTGCGTGTCTGTGCCTGTCTGTGCGTGTCTGTGTGTCTGTGTCTGTGCCTGTCTGTGCCTGTCTGTGCCTGTCTGTGCCTGTCTGTGCCTGTCTGTGCCTGTCTGTGCCTGTCTGTGCCTGTCTGTGCCTGTCTGTGCCTGTCTGTGCCTGCCTGTGCCTGTCTGTGCCTGTCTGTGCCTGTCTGTGCCTGTCTGTGCCTGTCTGTGCCTGTCTGTGCCTGTCTGTGCCTGTCTGTGCCTGTCTGTGCCTGTCTGTGCCTGTCTGTGCCTGTCTGTGCCTGTCTGTGTCTGTGCCTGTCTGTGCCTGTCTGTGGCTGGCTGTGGCTGGCTGTGGCTGGCTGTGGCTGGCTGTGGCTGGCTGTGGCTGGCTGTGGCTGGCTGTGGCTGGCTGTGGCTGGCTGTGGCTGGCTGTGGCTGGCTGTGGCTGGCTGTGGCTGGCTGTGGCTGGCTGGCTGGCTGGCTGGCTGGCTGGCTGGCTGGCTGGCTGGCTGGCTGGCTGGCTGGCTGGCTGGCTGGCTGGCTGGCTGGCTGGCTGGCTGGCTGGCTGGCTGGCTGGCTGCTGCTGGCTGTCTGGCTGTCTGGCTGTCTGGCTGTCTGGCTGTCTGGCTGTCTGGCTGTCTGGCTGTCTGGCTGTCTGGCTGTCTGGCTGTCTGGCTGTCTGGCTGTCTGGCTGTCTGGCTGTGTTGTGTGTTGTGTGTTGTGTGTTGTGTGTTGTGTGTTGTGTGTTGTGTGTTGTGTGTTGTGTGTTGTGTGTTGTGTGTTGTGTGTTGTGTGTTGTGTGCAGTGTGCTGTGTGTTGTGTGGTGTGTGGTGTGGGTTGTGTGTTGTGTGTTGTGGGTTGTGTGTTGTGTGTTGTGTGTGTTGTGGTTGTTGTTGTGTGTGTTGTGTGTGTTGTGGTGTTGTGTGGTTGTGTGTGTGTGTGTGTGTGTGTGTGTGTGTGTGTGTGTGTGTGTGTGTGTGTGTGTGTGTGTGTGTGTGTGTGTGTGTGTGTGTGTGTGTGTGTGTGTGTGTGTGTGTGTGTGTGTGTGTTTCGCGCTCCGCGCAAATTCCTTGGATCCGCGCTGGGCCCCCCTTCCTGGCGCCTGCAGGCGCCAGGAAGGGGGCGGCGCCTGCAGGCGCCGCCCCAGGGGGGCCCAACGCGGCTCCATGAAATCCGCGCGGAGCGCGGACAGTTTATACTTGTGCCAGGTTTTGTTCGTAAAGTAGATCTGGACCTGGGAATCCAGAAATACACACTCTCAACAACCGACGGGTACCATCTTTCCCACGCGCGGCCCCAGGGCCCCCGACCGCTGCCACGGGGACCCCCTGCATGGGCCCCCGCCCCTGGAGCCCCGAAGGCGCGCGCACCGATCCTGGACCCTGGTCGGAGCCCTCCTGGGCCCAGGACCGGCGCAGGCGCCCCCTCGGGGAGGGATGGAAGGGAGGGGGGGAGGGGAGGGAGGGAGGGGGAGCGGGATCAGGATCAAGATCAGAGCTCCAAAGAACTTCTCGTCAAGGCCACCTGCGGTAGAACACCAGGCTCGGAGGAGCACCCCCGCAGGTGGGATCAGGCTCGGGACACAGGAGCACCTCCCTGGGGAGTTCTTCGGGGCCTCTCGGGGCCTCTTGGGCTGTCTTCGCACGTTCCAGGACCGTGTGGCACCTTCGGAGGCCGGTTCGGGGATCCTCTTGGGCCCTCCTGGAGGGCCGTCGGGCCGTCTTCGGGCCATCCTGGGATCGTCATGGGGCCCCCCACGGGGCCTTCCTGGCGCGTTCGTGGGCGCTTTTTGCGTCTCTCTTGAAAGCCTCCTGGGCCATCTTGGGGTGATCTTGCGGGCCTCCTGGGCTTCAGGGCGGGGACACCGAAGACATGAAATTCCGGGGGACACAATTGATGCGTTGCGCCTTGGCGTACTCTCTGGGGCCATCCTGGGGCCCACTTGGGCCGTTGGGGGTCTCTCGGGCTGTCTGGAAGCCTGAGCTTGCTGTCTTAGGGCCCGCGTGAGCAGTCTTCGAACAAATTTCGGCCACCCTCGACTCATCTCGGGACGTCGTCGACCCAGATGAAGGCCCACTGCAAGCGCCCGGGAGAGCCAGGACTCGCCCTGGGGATCGGCAAAAGGCCGCGGGCCCGAATCAGGGCACGTCGGGCCCCCCCTGAACCTCTTTTCCAATGTTTGGTTTCTCTCTCCTTCTCTCTCTCCCTCTCTCTCTCTCTCTCTTTCTCCTTTTTACTCTCTATCACTCTATTGCTATGTTTTTGTTGTTTGTTTTGTTGTTTCTCTCTCTCTCTCTCTCCTCTGTTTTTTTCTCGTCTCTCTCTGTATATGTATTGATGTTGTTTCTTTGCTCTCTCTCTCTCTCTCTCTTTCCCATTTCTCGCCCCTGGCCTACTGATCATTGCAGCGGGCGTCGGGCGCGTTCGTGGTCGTCGTACTAGCGGTGGTGGGCACATCGCACATCGGAGCTGGCAGTGGTCGTTGTGGTAGTTGTCGTTGTGCTGGCGGTTGGGGGGCTGCTTGGCTGTTCGCGTCGCGCTGAGCAACATCTCCGCGCTTCCGAAAGCCAGGCAGCGCTGGATCTTCCTCCAGGTGGTGGAGACCACGCCAGACCGCTCGGTCCCCGGCAAGTCGCGGCCGTAAGAGCGGACAAAAGCGACCAGGCCGTCGGCCAGTCGACCCCCTGATTCCAAGACGGCCGGGACCAGCCCCCCACGGGCAAGAGGCTGACGCGCCCGCTTCCTGTCAACCGCGTGGGCCGCCGCCACCCGGTCCGTGCGAGCCCCGGTCTGCCTGTGAATGTTGTTGTTGCTGTGTTCGCAAGTGACAGACCAATCAACATGGGCGAGGCCGCTGGTAACGGGATCGCGGGTGGCAACGTCGCGGACGGCCTCCTGATACGCGCCCCAATGTTGGGGTGTTGGCGGTCCCATGCACGGACGCGCTGCTTAGTCGTGGCCCAGTGGCCAGTCGGAGCGCAGCCCCACGGCGTGCCCTAGTCGCGTGCAGAATTGCGTGGGTAGTCCGTTCTGCCCCCGCACCCTCACTTCCGGAAGTGCCAGCCCTTGGCATCCAGTGTCTCGCCACACAGGGAGCCGTCCTGTTTGCGGTTCTGGAAGCGCGCGCCCGGGGCGCAGACGTCGCAGCAAAGGCGCATGCGTAGGTTGGCGAGAAGTGAGCGTCTGGGAGGGGCGCCTCGTCCTCCTCGCGGGGCAGCAGCACCTCCAGCTCCGCGCAGTGTCAGCTGGCCGTCCTTGTTCAACGTCCGAAGGAGCCGCGTTCTCTTGGCGACGGAGGTTTTCTTCCCCCAGTGCCCATGCTGTTTGGCCTTGGGCTTAGAGCTGCCCAGTCCAAAGGTTCGGCCTCCGCCTGTGCCGGTCGAGTTCCGCCTCGGCGGGGCGCCAGGCGTCTGCTATCTAAGGGCATCGGGCCCGGATGGCCTTCGCTGAAGTGGCCCCGAGGCACGCTGCCGCGTGCCGAAAGCAGCAAGACCAACTTTACGTCCATCTGTGTTCATATATATAACACACTGGAGGTCGTCAGGGTGAGCGGGTCAGAATCGATAAGCCACGACACAGGAAGCTGCCCCGAAGGGATTGGAGAAGCGAGAACAGCTGTGCTCATACCTTGCCAACCCATGACCACACCGAGATCCTTCCGAACAATATGACCCGGCGTGCCACCGCCCAAGGGTCGCCCCCCCCCCGGTGGTCTCTGCTTCCCTGAGGGGCAACGATAGGGGGCCTGGTGTAGGGGGGGAACATCAACCTGGAATCGGCGATACAGATCTGCGATAGGCCTCCGATGAGGAATCCGCAAGAATCCTGGGCAGGTAGAGGCTATCAGGTCCCCGTCTGCGATCAATGGGAGATTGGGGGTCGATGCATCCCCCCCGGATGCCCAATCTCCGATCGCTGATCCCGAGTCTCCTCCGAGAGCCCCTCCGCGGGCTCGCCGGCGGCCCTACGTGTTGTCACCGCGGGGGGCCTGGTGTTCGCCAGCGGCTCCGTGTTGTCGATGGACAGGTCCACCTCGCGGGGCCTCGGGGGCCCCTGGTAGCGCAGCTTCAGGATGGGCACGCGGGCGTGGAGGATGTGCCCGACCACCTGGGCCCGGCCAGGGGGCGCCGCATCCGGTTTGGAGGCCCCCGCCCGTGCGCTGCCGCAGGGGCGCACGCCACCTCCTGCTCCCCCTCTCCTCCTCCTGCTACTCCTGTTGTGGCTGGGCGGACTTCAGTCCATATATGCTGCAGCGTCTAAACCTCCCCCTCCTTCTCTTCCTCCTACTCCTCATCCTCCCTCCTCCTCTTTCTCCTCCTCCTCCTCGTCCTCGTCCTCCTCCTCCCCCTCCGCCTCCTCCACCTCCTCCTCCTCCTCCTCCTCCTCCTCAAGCACAAGCGGCGCGCGACCGGGCGGCTTCCCTTTTGGCTCCAACCGGTCATGCAGCCACTCTCGGCGTCTCATCGCGGCGGGCTTGTGGCAGCCTGGAGATTTTGCAGCATTCACTGGTGTGGGTATTGCTTTTATCGATGGGTTGGCTAAGACCGAGAGAAATTCATGCAGGTAATTTTTCCCCAGCAGCTCCCTCATCGGTGCTGGCCACGTGTGACTTTGTGGTTTACTTCGTCCACGTCGCTTTCGTGCTGCACGGGTGCATACTGGGCCTTTTTGTATCTCAATGTTCAAGCTTTCCTGTGCATCGACTTCGTGGTCCGTCCCAGGCTGCAGGGCAATGGGGTGAGCCGCTGGCATTGACCCACCCGCCTGCGGTCTGGGCGTATTTCGGGCGAGCGGGTGCTGCTGTCACGACCGTCGTGGAGGGCATCCGCCCCAGGTTGCAGGGTCGATGGGGGGAGCCGCTGGCATTGACCCACCCGCCTGCTACCTGGGCGTATTTCAAGCGTTGTGCTGGAGTGGTGGCTCTTGGTATGCATTGGGAGCTCGTGGGACATTCCCCATCCCGCCGTGTCCACTGTCACTTTCTCTGGCCTTATTGGTGTATTGTCGACCCATTTGTTGGCACAAAGGCTTGGGCGAGATCAAGAGGTCAATTCATTTTCGTACGCGGGTACGGTCTTTTGTATTGATATTGTGGGGCTGTCTGTGGAGGACGCGATTCCCGTGTACGTCTTCTACCATTCCCTCATCTACCTGGAGGTGGTCAGTGGGTGGCTTCATTTGTCAAGACTTCGGTCATGCTCACGTCGCCTGGTCAGGTTTGTGGCAGCGCAGGAGTGACAATTCGGGTCGCAGTTCCTTGTCGTCTTCTACGTCGGCCTGATCAGGGGGTGGCAGGGCGGTATTTTTAGACTTCGTCTCATATCAGTCTCAGTCTCAGTCTCAGTCTCCTCCTCCTCCTCCTCCCTCCTCTCGGAGAGCAAATTGGCTAGTCCGCGCGGATTCCGGAGCTGTTGTCTCGCCGCCAACCGCCCGCGGGCATGGGCAACCTCCTCCTCCACCTCCTCCTCCTCCCTAGCAGCGTGGAGCAGAAGAAAAACCTGCCTCGAATGAGGCTGGAGCGGATGGGGTCGGAGGATCGCGCTGCATCGCCAGAACATCGTCGGTGTAAACGATGCGTCGTGCAGCGGGGACATCGGCATGGAAGAAACCTGGCTCCAGCTCGAGCCGCATCGCCGATGCATCAGCGATGCGGCGTGATCCTCCGACCCCATCTGTTCTGGTCCCATTCGGGAGGCCCCGACTAAGAGCCCTGGATAACCAAATATTGCTAGTCGTAGTGCGGGAGGGGAGGCGGAGGAGAAGAGGGAGGAGGAAAGGGGGGAGGGAAGGGGGGAGAGGGGGGAGGAGGAGGAGGAGGAGGAGGAGGAGGAGGAGGAGGAGGAGGAGGAGGAGGAGGAGGAGGAGGAGGAGGAGGAGGAGGAGGAGGGGGAGGAGGAAGAGGGGAGGAGGAGGAGGAGGAGGAGGAGGAGGAGGAGGAGGAGGAGGAGGAGGAACGCCACATGAGCAAGGAAGGGAGGGACTGATCAGGCCACGGCAAACCTCCGCCATGAACAGGCTCCCTGACCTAACGGAAGGTTCGCGCGGCGTCTCGGCGCGCGCAGAGGGCTTCAACCTCGTGGTAATCGTTCAACCTTGAATCGTTCAACCCGATTGTTCGAGGTCGAATTCTGTCGGGTCCAGTTGAAGGGGCCCAGGGACACACAAACAAATGCAGACAAATAAAAGGATCCCCCATATTTTCCTATATTTTCTGGGTTTCTGTCTTCCCCCCCACTTCCCATATTTTCCCACATTTTCTGGGGAAACGAGGATCAATTGTGTCTGTGTGTTTTTTCCTCTCCTGACCAGTGGCGTCACCGCGTCCCTCGGTGCTCCCGCGTCGCAGAACTCAACCTTGAGTGCCTTCGCCAGCGTCGCCGGCGCGACGACACGGCATGAAACTATCGTAGATTACTAGACAGGCGCGCTCCGCTACTCGCAATATAGCCATATACTACTCACAAATGGCGTGGATCCGCCGCGGGGAATTCACAATCCAAAGCGTCGAGGCAAACATGTTCTTCGCGCGTATGCGAGTACGGCAGGTTCGTGTCGTGCCGACTTCGGCGTTGGCTCCTGACATAGCTGGGATCCTTTGACCTAGAGCGATGCGCCGTTTCCGAAACGTCAGATCGTTCAACATCGACCGATTCTGGGTCGCTGGCGGCGTTCAACGTTGAACGCCAACGGCGGGGTCGCCGCCAGTCGGCACGGCACGAACCCGCCGTAGGCACCTTGCGAGCAGTGCAACTCGCTCGGTGAGCGGCTGCCAGGAGCGGCCCGAAGGCCGCCGAGCCCCTCTGGAGACGGCGCCCACGTGGTCCCTATGCCAACGCGCTGGCTGTAGACCTCATAAGACGAAGCCGGGACGAGGACAAATTCGGGGCTGGACAAATCGAGACTCTCTGAGATCCTGCGGCTCTGGAGGACGGCCTTCTCGGAGCGTTCCGGAACGCTCTAAGAGCGTTCTGGAACGCTCTGGAGCGAACTTATCCTTGTCCTGGCCCCGTCCGAAGACTCGAAGCGTCTCCCTCCAGTAACGTGAAGACTTGCGCCAACGCCGTCTGAGAACGGCTGGGCGTAATCAAGTAATTTCCAGACGGCGTCGGCGCAAATTGTGACAGTCCCGGCCTCCTCCCCCACCCCCCACCCAGTTCCTCCAGCAACGGCCCTCATCGCCACAGGACAAACAATTGGCGCGAAACGCGGGTCCCCAAGCCTGCGGACCGAAAGGTCTCTACGCGCGCGCAGCGTGCACGCATGCCGGAGGCGTGGGCGAAAAAGCAATTATACGTCAGCATTGGGGATGAGTTCGATCACGTGGTGCGTGGGTGCAGTGACCAGGGCAAAAACGCATGGCACTATAGCACTCGGAAGAAATCCCGCTGCACGGGGAGACACGTCCTCCCGTTCAATCGCGGAGCGCCGGCGGGCGAACGGGCAAGGGCAAAGGAAAAGGTCGGGGGACGTCCAGTTGAGAGCCTTTCGTGGCGTGGGAGGCATGTGGGCCATGGGCCCAAGATCAGCCTGGCGGGAAGCGTTGATGAGGCCAGCGGCGCGGGAAGCGCGCAAATCGTCAAACTGCGCCAGCGGATTGGGCAAGCAGCGCTGGGTGTCGGCGCCAACCGCCACCACGCGGCCGAGCGAGAGGAGTCAAAACTGGTGAACCGCCGCAACCGGCCGCGGCGGCGGGAACCACCCAAAACGGCCAACAAGTGCCCGCCTTCATTCGGGGACACGGGGCGCGTGATAGCGGTCGCACCCGCTGCTTTCAAAATGTTCGACATTGCGACATGATTGAAACATTGCGATGAATCACGGCCAGAGCCGTGGACTTCACCTTTTCTGCTGCACGTCCGGAACTGCGTGGCTCTGTCATGGCCTCTGTGCCCGACCCTGGGCGAAAATGCCACTGACACGCCCAGATATCAGGGCTTGAAGTGGGGCCTCCTAGATCGGGATCCGAGTCGATGGGGTCGGAAAATCGCGCCTGATCGCCGATGCATCGGCGATGCATCAGCGACGCATATCGATCCGCATCGCCGATGCATCGGCGATGCGGCGAGATCCTCCGACACCATCTATTCCGACCCCATCCAGGAGGCCCAGAACGTTCGGAGCCAATTCGATTTGCAGTGGTCCCCGGGCCGACAAGGGGCGAAAATGCCTGGCAACAGTGTGAAACACCCAAATCTCACGGTTAGGTCGGGCATGTTCTCCGACAGGCGGATTTGGACGACTATTTTTTTTTAATTGTCAAAAAATGAAAAAGAGCGGAAAGAACGCAAAATATCGTCTCCGTGCTATTTTTCACCATTGTCGGATCTTATATCAAGGGCATGAAAACCGCACGAGCGCTTCACATCAGCCAGGGGCGAATTCCCTTCGCCACGCGAATCCGCAGCCCCGCGCGCGGCCGCGCGAACTCGGGGCGGCAGCGCCAAGGTAGGGTTATCTCGGGCATGTCACGCACGTCTTCCTACGGGCGGCCAAGGGGGGGGGCAAGCTCCGCGACGTCGAGGCTGGCTTCCGCGTCTGCGCTTGCGCAGAGGTCGCTCGCGAGGGCGGCGGGCGCCCCTGACGCGCGGCTTCCCCCGCTCCGGGCTATAGGAGCGCCGACTGCCCCTCCGCGTTCTCCAGGGGGCGCCTGAGGCGGGGGGGACTGTAGGCGTGGGCCGCCTTGCCATGGAAGGCCTGGCCGAACCGGGTGGCGCTGGGCGGGGCCTCGCCCCTGAACGCGAGATCGGGGGGAGGCGCCCCTTGCCCGACTCCCCGCCCGTCCAGGTTCTCCAGGGGCGCCACCCCGTCGGGGCGGGACTCCGCCCCCCCTCGCCCCCGCCATCCACAGCCCCAGGTGCAGCCCCAGGCTGGCCGGGCCCATGACAACCCGGCGCCCAGCAGGAACAGGGCGGCAGCCCAGAGCAGGACGACCCCGAGGCGCTGCTGGACGGGGCTGCAGCGCTCCCAGCGCTCAGAACCGAGCGCCCACCCCCCGAAACGGTCCGAGCGGATCAGGACCCACCCAGCTGACCTACGCGCCCTATTCCCACCCGCCGCGGCAGTGCCGCCCTCTTCGACCGTCAGCTGGTCCCCCGCCTTCCCGGGACCATCCGCGGGCGCCCAATCCCCCGCGCGACCCCGCCCAGCTCTCGGGCCACCGGCCGCAGGAGGCGGGCAGGGCGCTCCGGGATCCCCGGGCCGAGGGGCCTCTCCCGGGGGTGATCCTTCGGGCGCCTCGGCCCTGCCGGGCAGGGGCCTCCCCGCCGCGGCGAGCACCTCGCGCGCTGTTTCCAGGGCCGCCTCCACACGCCCCTTCTTCACGAATGGTCTAGAAAGGGTTGGGATTCACCTCGTCGGGATCCCCCCCCCCTCCCCCCTCGCCCCAACCAACCCTTCTCGTGACCCGAGAAGGGGGCTCCCGAAAAAGCTTCCTGCCCCGAAGCGCCGAGCGCGTGCTGGCCTGGGGCCCGGGAGCGGCCTCCCTGCCCCAAGAACCTCCCTGGGCCGGCCGTTCCCCAGGTGATTGGCCTGGCTCGGCTCCTCCGCCCTCCGGGCCCCCCCGCGGAGAAGGTGTTGGAGGAGGAGGAGGAGGAGGCGGAGGCGGAGGCGGAGGGGGAGGCGGAGGAGGAGGAGGAGGAGGAGGAGGAGGAGGAGGAGGAGGAGGAGGAGGAGGAGGAGGAGGAGGGGGAGGGTTCGAATGCGGCGGTGTCCGATCCAGGCCCGCTCGGGACACGGCCCGGTTGCCAGGCTGGGCCCGCGGCGGCACCCGCCGCAGCGCCCGCCATGGTGCCCACCGGCGCTCTCTCTCCAGGCGCCAGGGGCGAGGGTTCCGCGGCTGCCTGCGCCGGCAGGGCCAGCCGCACCCACCTGCACGCCCCGGGGCCCGCCATGAGCGCACCGCGGGTCCCGCGACCCACGGGACGAAGGGGAGACCTCTTCGCAAGAAAAAACGGTTCCAGCCAGACAGCTGCCACGGGGGAAAGGAGGGGAAGAGGGAGAGATGCAGGGGGCAGGACTAAACTGTTAAAAGGGGGCAGTAACAGAGACACGCATTCATTCGAAAAAGAAGAATAATCATACTACGAATGCTGTTAATGAGTATACATCCAATAAGAATACGAATGATATTTAAACTAAGAAGGTAAGAATAATTCAATAGCACACACATAATTTTATAACAACAGTACCAGCAATACGAACACTCACACGAATGATTATAGTAATACTACTCCTTTATTGTTTAATAGTAATGCTGAGCATACGGATATTAATCCACAGTAAGGAACGACTAACAACAAAAACACAAGGAAGCATAATCATATCAAGTGGAAGAAGCAGCGTAACAAGGAAAAAACGAAGCAGAAACAGAAAAAACAGAAGAAGGGGCTCCACGAAATCTGGGCGGACTCTCAGCCCAGGGGCACGGTATCCACTCGCCCCTAAGGGGATGCTCTTATGCGTGCTCATCAGAGTGGGGCGCTGCGCGACGCCGCGAAGCATCCAAGTCCACCTCGCAAGGCAAGTCCGACAGGTAAGGCGTGTAGCGCCCGGTCGAGGACTTGTCATTGCAGACCTTGAGCTACAGACATCACACCATGTGCTCATTGGTCACCTGACCTTGTCCACCAGGAATCGTTGCAGTGCGGAGGGGAGGGAACGAGGGTGATGACGACAAGTAACCAGTGTGGTTTGCTCGGCGCTGAGCAACTCGAGCCTACCCAGGTCTAGGTGTTCCCACCAAGGGCATCCAGCCCTGCTGTCGCCCAGCTGGGCCGATTCCTCCTCCTCGTCCTCCTCGTCCTCCTAAACCTTCTCCGTTGACGTCTACTCCGTACTCCATTCTCGTCCATCTTTCACTCCCTCCTCCATCCTCCTCCTTGCTCCCTCCTCCCCTAGTTCCTCCTCCTCATCCTGGTCCTCGTCCTCGTCCTCGTCGTCCTCCTCCTCCTCCCAACCATCCTCATTCTGGAAGAGGAGCCTCGCCACCTGGAATTCCGTCTTGTCCTGAAAGACCCGCCGTAGCCGCTTGATGGTCCCCCTGATCGCCTCCTTCCCGAGGCTGTCGGTGCCGTCCTGCGGAGGCCAAAACACTCGAGGGGCACGCAGCAACCTGACCCCTGCCAGTCCCTCTCCCTTCCTGTTCCTCCTCCTACTCCTCCCCCCTCTACTGGCCATCGCTCTGACGTCCGTTCCCTGTGTTTTTGTGTCGTTTTCGTGCGTGGCTGTTCCGCAGGATGATGCAGGATGCTCCTTGAGAATCCCCACCGAGAGAAAGTGCACACGTCCGAGCGATACCAAGTCTAGAAGCCGAACAATTCCACAGACCCACCCCGATCCTCCTCCCTTCTCGCTCCTCGTCTGCCTGGTATCCCCCCACTTCCTGGTGCGAGGGGGGGCCGGGGGAACACCGAGGTGGATTTCGACACGGTGGCTCTCCTCGGGCCTCCATTCTCGGAGCGCCGCGAGAAGCAGGTGCTGCGCGAGGCGTCCCTGGGAGCAGGAGAACCGAAGGAATAACCCGAGAACGCGTGGAGGATGCCGCAATACACCCTCCCAGCCATTACCGGCCTGGAACATCATATCCCTAGCCCTATGCTGGGCACCCCCTCATCGCGATGCCAATCTTCGGGGAGTCCCTTCTTTTTTTCAGGGCGGATCCCTGAGATTGGCATCGCCTGTTGGCGTGTCAATCTTAGGGGCAGGGATACGTTCGAGGCTGGTAAACTCAGAGCCACCCTGCGCAGGAGCCCCCCACAGGCCGTCCTTCCCGCAGCAGGGAGCGCCCCCCTGCGCATGAGCCCCCTTCCTCCCAACCAGAGCCACCCTGCGCAGGAGCCCCCACCTGGGCATCGCTCGGACGTCCATTCCCTGCGCTTTTTGTCGGCTCCGTGCGTGGCTTCTTCGCCAAAGCATCCAGGATGCTCCTCGAGGGCCCTCGCCGAAGGGAAAAGTGCACACGTCCGAGCGGTGCCCAGGCCACGGGCCTTCCTGTCCCGCAGCAGGGGGCGCCCCCTCCAAAGACCACCCGCCCTTGCACGGTTTCCCCCGGGGCCGTAGGCGACCCGAGAAGGAGGAGGAGGAGGAGGAGGAGGAGGAGGACAGGAGGGGGAGGAGGAGGAGGAGGAGGAGGAGGAGGAGGAGGAGGAGGAGGAGGAGGAGGAGGAGGAGGAGAAGGAGGAGGAGGAGGACAAGGAGGAGGAGGAGGAGGAGAGGAGGAGGAGGACAGGAGGAGAGGAGGAGGAGGAGGAGGAGGAGGAGGAGGAGGAGGAGGAGGAGAAACGGGTCGCCTAAGCCCTTCGGAGAAACCCTACACCCGCCCTGTGGGCCTGCCATGGAGGCGCACGCCTCGCTCTCGAAGACGGGCACACCCCCCCCCCGTGTGCAGGTGCTGAGCACAGCGCGCGCTTACAGTCGGGGCGTTGGCCTAAGGAACCCTAAGTAAGGAACGAGGCCACCTTTTCCCCAGAAGTTCAGCCTCGATCTCCTGTGGGAAAAACCTCACGAGAAGCCGACGCAGACCTTGAAGCAATCAGGGAACACCGAGCCCCTCCCCAACCAAAAGGTTTCCTTCTTCAAGACCCCTACTGTACAGTACGCTCGGCAACTTCTGGAGGAAGGCTCAGGCAGGAGCCCCGTGGCGAACGAGGGCTCGCCCTCCGTCCGTTCCAAAGTCTCTTTGGGAGCCCCTTGGGGGCGGCGTCTTGGGGTACTTCTCGGCACTTTTCCGGGGAGATTCTCGAGCCGACTGCTCGGAATGTCCGTTCTGGCCCCCCGTCTGGGCGCTCTCTTGGAGTCGTCTCGGTGGCCTCTTGGGCCGAATGCTCGGAATGTCCGTTCTGGCCCCCCGTCTGGGCGGTCTCTTGGAGTCGTCTCGGTGGCCCTTTGGGCTGTCCTGGAGCCGTCTTCTCTGTTTTGAACACCTGCGAGACGCACAAGCGGAACCTGAGCGGCCTAACGCAGCCCTGGACAACACATACCCAATCCGACTTAGGGTGCCCAGCTCACTACGAGGAGAGGCGGTGGCCCCCTCTCCTGTGGCGCAGTGCTGGGCTGAGCCCCTCTGGACCCACGCCCGCCTTGGAACGGGGCTCCGCGTGCTATTGTAGGGTGGGCGGGAGGAGAAGGTGAGCGCAGCCTGTGCCAGAAGGGCTGCAAGAGAGGAGAAGAGGAAGAAAGAGCACGGCGAAAGTCGGATTGCACTGTGAACGCGCCAGACCAACAGCAGGGGCACATCCGACGGAGGATGCCCGAGCTCACTGCGAGGAGAGGAGGTGGCCCCTTTTTTTCTGTGGCGCACTGCTGGGATGAGTCCACGTGGACCCCACCCGCACCCGCCAGGGTCCTCCAATCCCTCCAGGGCGGTTGGCCCTCCCACCTTCGGGTCGGGCGAAAGGGGGGGATAGCAAAAGGGAGGTTTGAGAATCAGCTCACGTAGCTGATTTTCCCGGCGCCTCCCGGCGCTGGGAGGCGCCCATGTATCGAGGAATGGGCCCGGCGGCGGGGCCGAAACCAGCTGCATGCAGCAAATTTCGTATCCCCCCCTTTCCCAATCCCCCCCTTTCGTTCGGCCCGACACCTCCATGCCGCTACCATCGTAACAGACGGCGGGCAGGCGCCCCCCCATCCTTCGATGCCCGCCGCGACCGCCCACTGCCCCACGCGACGCGGGGGGGGGGTGCGGGCTGCGGCCCCGGCGCGCGGCCCCTCGCTGGCTATATCCCACCGCCTCGGCGCCGCTGCCACCGCAGCGGGCGCCGATGGCTGCGCCGGCCCCGGGCGCGCCCAAAAGCCTCGGGGCACGTGTGGGTGGCTGCCCCGGCAGCCCACCCGACGATAGGTCGAGTCTCCTGCAGGCGCGGCTCCCATCGCCCATCGCGCGCAGCCCGCCGGCGGGCTCCGGGCGCACCTGCCCAGGCCCGGGGCCCCGCGGATATCCCCACGATAATCTGAGATGGGGACGTGCCCGCCGACTCCGCTCGCCAGCTTTCCAAGATCGGGTCGGATCGGCCGTCCACGGACATGCCCCTCCGGGGGGTAAACAGCGGGTGGGTGGGCGCAACACGAATCAGCACTGCAGCCCGGGCCGCCCTCACAGAGGGCGCATACCCCCCCCTGACCTATATCCAGGGGGGCGGAAAAAGGACAATCAAACAGAAAGGCGAGAACTTCCTTGATTGACTGATCGAACCTCCCTCCCTTCTCCTCCCCCCTGCCCCAGGGGGAGAAGAGGAAAAAGGCAAGGCCGCCTCGTGAGCCGTCTGGGAGCCCTCGAGACCGTGTTGGGAGCGATTCGGGGCTCTCTCGAGTCGCCTCGACGGCGGTATGATCGCTCTGGCGGCCGAACTGAAGCCCCCAGGGGCGGCCCTGGCCCCCAGGCCCCACATTTGCGGTCGTGGTCACGGCCCAGGGGCCCCAAAGTCCAATCCCCTGTTATGTATGTATATATATATATACTTGTGTATACACACCTGCTTCTATGTATGAACACATATATATATATATATATATATATATATACACACATGAACTTAGATACAGATGGGGAGAAAAATGAAGCGGAGCAGAGGGAGGACAAATAGAAGACCCCAGGCAGCCGACGACCGTGGTCACAACTCGCCAGCCTCTGGATCCCTCCCCTGCCCTCCCGACCCATCCCATTCCTGGGGAGCCCACAGAGGACCTACGCACCCAACCACGTAAATGAGCACGGCCCCCCAGTCCGCGAGACCAACCTCGCGATACCACCGCTCGCGCAGTGCACACTCTCGAGACCGACGTGGATCCATGTACGAGGACGTCCTTCTCTCGCTCCTGAATTCCCACGTCAGTCCACCCTTCCCTCCCCCCCCCCTCCGTCTTCCACCACTCGGCGGCGAGCGAGGGGGGGAACCGAGACGGAGAGAGGCCTTCTCAGAAGGCGGCGGGGCTTCTCAGCAGCCCTCGCGCCTTCTGAGAAGTTGTTCGTGCCTTCGGGGCAGGCCCAGAAAACTTCTCGGGAGGCCACGGGACCTCCGAGCCTCCCGAGGAGGCCCGCCCCTTCAGACCTCCCCCCTCGCTCGCCGCCGAGCCGCCTCCTGCCGCCTGCCCCGCCTCGCAGGCACCGAACCGCCCAGGCCTCTGACTACCTACCAGACCACCCCAACCCGACCCGAAAACCCGAATTTCGGGTTGGAAGGTAATGAGTTCCATCTGTGTTTTTTCAATGTTCCCCGACCCCCCCCACTGGAAATGGAGGGCCAATTGAGGCCTTCGGGTTGGGTTGGGGTGGTTTGGTGGGTGGTGAGCCTCTCCTGGAACGCCACCGCGTCCACGTCGGAGAGCCGCGTGCCGAAGCCATTCTGGGCGCTGCCGAACACCGCCACGCGCCAGGGGTTGACTGCGCCACGCGCCGGGGAGCGGAGGGCCGTCGGGAGAGGCGAAGGCTGGAGGATGCAGTCGAAATGCTGCCATAATGCGGGATGACGATTAATAAAAAAATGGGAGAGAACGATCAAAAAAATAGTTTTCTGCTATTTCTGCATATTTGCTGACTGGAGGACATCGATTGACAAGAATAGCTTTCCAGCCCGCGTCCGGTTTTTTCTAAGCGTCATCCCGGGCGCGCCGCGTAAACACGACCCCCGGTCATTCATTAATCGTCATCCTCCATTACTAAGCCCAGATGAAGGCACGGGGTCCCATTTTCCATCAGTTGAACGTCGACTTCCCAGAGAAAGCCTGAGGACAACCTCAGAGAACAAATGGAAGACGTTTCAGGAGCACCGAGCCCATCCCTAACGAAAAGGGGCCCTTCTTCGGCGGCCCCACTGCAAGTCCGGATGAGGACCGGCGTCAAGTCTGGGGTGGGAGTGAGCAAAGGCGGGCCTTCTCAGAAGACTCGGACGTCCCCCAGCCTTCTGAGAAGCCCCGCCGCTTACTGAGAAGGCCTTCTCCTTCTCATTCCGCCCCTGGCTCGCCGACGAGCGTGAAGAGGCCCCAGGACACACAAACAAATACACACAAATAAAAAACAAAATCCCCATTTCTTCCCGTATCTTTTGGGGTGTTCGTCTTCCCCACCACTTCCCATATTTTCCAACATTTCCTGGGGCATCGGCGTCGGCGATGAATGGCGTCTGTGTGTTTTTCCCCTCCTGAGAGAGGATGAGTCGGGAACCTCTGGGAGCTGGCAGGTCCGGAGGACGCTTCGGGCGGCGCCGCCGTGCCGGAGCGCCCCGGAACGCTCTCGGGAGCAGGCAGGCCTGAAGGATCCCAGTTTGCCCGTGATCAGATCATGCTACAGGGCAGATTTTTGATGCATGGGATGTTTAAGACTATAGGATTTGAATGCATGACTAATCTATGAATCAATGTTTGCATGAGCTCATCGTTGTTTTTAATATTAGATCCCTGCATGTTTAATACATGATCCGCACGCGGAGCATGTATTAAAAAACGGCACTGTACTGCCAGCCACGCGTCGACGCCGAGCTGGGAAGGAGGTGATTTCAATTGAAAGAACTGCCTCGTTGGAAGACAACCGTTTGAAAATCCTGAACCGTGCCAAAACATTGTTCCCGGAATGCCAACGTCACGTATCAACCTGACTGCTGCTTCTTGACGATCCGGAATCGTGCCAGAACGCTGACGTAGGACATCAATACCGGGAATCAACATAACTGCTGCGCCCGCATAATCCTGATTCTTTCCAAAGCACCATTTCTGGTACGCTGATGATGGGAAGCCGAGCAACTCTTGTAAACTTTGATAACGAATGTGCGCGGCGCCAAAGAGAGAGCCACATTTTGAAAAGGAGCCGCCCTCAATCTGTGAACCGATCGCAGTTTTTGAAAACGAATGTGCACGGCGCTAAGGCGAGAGCCACATATCGAAAACGACCGGCCCTCAACATGTGAAACTCTGGCAAATGTTTATACCGAATGTGCGCGGCGTTAACACGAGAGCCACATTTTGAAAACGACCCGCCCTCAATCCTTGAAGCTCTTGCAAATGTTGAAATCGAATTTCTGCGGCGCTAAGGCGCGAGCCACATGTTGAAAACGAGCTGCCCTCTATCTGTGAAACTGCTGTCACTGTTTAAGCTTCAGAGTCATTCGTGGTGAGGAAGTCTCAGGCGACACGCCCGGCCCACCGTAAAAACTGGCCTCGGGCTGCGACAGGGAGAATATCTATATAAGAAGAAATATTGAAGGCTGAAGGAGGAGGAAGAGGAGGAGGAGGAGGAGGAGGAGCAGGAGGAGAAACGAGGAAGAGGATGAGGAGGAGGAGGACGAGGAACGAGGAAGAGGGGGAGAAGGAGGAGCAGGAGGACGAGAAACAGGGAGGAGGAGGAGGAGGAGGAGGAGGAGGAGGAGGAGGAGGAGGAGGAGAAGGAATTTTTA